ATCCGTGTCTTAATCCATGCCGTGTTATGTCCTTCAATTTGAGGAGACTGGACCTGGAAAGTCCTTGAATTTGATATTTAAGACTATGTGGCAACCTGGATATCCTCTTTTGAACCCTTCTTTAGAACGTTCCCTTCTTCTTTTCCACTTTTCTAACCCATTCTCATTCCCAAGTCAGTTCGTCAGTGTCTGATACCGACAAACTCAAGGCACCCTTTAGCATCCGTATGAGACGCACTAGGCTTTGTGTCCGCGGGGAGCATCCAAGGTATGTAAACGAACTATGACGCATGTCCCCTGTGATGTGAGAGATGGAGCTAAGCAGAGCCTAGAGCACGTTCCAGAACACCACCGTTGACGTCACCAATGAATTGATGTCTGTGATGGGTTTAATTTGCAAACCCACAGAAGCAACTGTACCAGAAAAGTACAGTTAAATTACCCCACAACCAGAAACCATGGATTGCTAAAACCACCCTGGACGCTGTAAACAACACACCCTGCAGCCAGTCTGGGAACATGGACGATTATAAAGCAGCAGCCTACGATGTCAGAAGAGAGACTGAAGGAACTGGATTGGATGCAACTGGAATTTTACCTTGTACGATTTCATGACACATAAATGATTGATTAAACGTCAATGTAGACCCATCCACGTCATTATTAGACGCTCAGAGCAACTGACATAGTACAAAGAGCGAGGGGAGGAGGTTGGGGTGGATGGATTGGTCAAACAAACACAGGACTTTCACCACTGTTTAACCCAAGATCTTGACTTTATCTTACATTTTCTGTGAAGACAGAAATTTATTTTGAAAAGACACGGTAGCATATAACAAGCTGAAACCGACACATCCAAAACTGTTGCTAGAAGGGTACCTAAAGCGTCAGTAGCCCCTTTTACACTGCCAGATTTTCCGCGAATGTTGGGCCGTTTTGCCGGCAAGCTGCGAGCGTTTATACACACAGAGCCGGATTGGCGAGTAGATCCGAGGTGCCCAATTTTCCACCTCGTAGGGTAGACATATTGGAGGAACCATTTTAGTTTAAAAAGACAAAGGCAGCCTTCAGCAACAGGAGGAGCTGTTGAAGACTTGTGGGAGGAGCTGTTGATGACGCCACAGCTGATAGCAGGAATTAGCGAGCAGCTAGTAGCAAGAGGGAAACACAAACCTGACAGACACTGTAAAGATGAGCAACTGGGGAGACAAGGAATTGCGCGCCCTCCTTGTCCTCGCAAACAAAGAGGCCATTAACCATCAGATGACGGGGACGGTGAAGAACGGGCCGACTTATGAGAGAATCGCTGAAGGACTGACCAGCCACGGCTTCCCTCCCACGTCACTGTTTACGTCACACGCTGAGCTACACGTTTTGTTACTTGCTCATGCCCCCCATTGCCCCGAAAAAGGCACATTCTTTATAAACAAAAGTAGGCAGGTGGTATTTTGCTGCACTCCCTGATTTTGTTTTTATACTGCCAATGCTGAAAAAAGACTGATTGGTCTTTCCTGCAAATTTGCACAACTCCTGTCTAAAAAGGGCTATAGTTTGAAGCGTAGGGCCACTGACCCAGCTGCCGTATCTAACGAACTGGTTGTGAGATTGTGTTGACTTTGGTACTTTATGCCTCATCATTTCAGTCCGTCTTTAAATACCTCGCTCATTTCTTCCCCATTTCCTTCCTTCCTTTTTCCAACCTTCCCCATCACTGCAGCTTTTCTTTTGCTCTGTATTCTTCATCAGATGACAGAAGCGTATGTCATACGTCAGTGTGGTATTTGGTGCTGTGTTTGTGTCCATGCATCCTGAGTCACTGCTCTGTCATCTTAATGTAATCCCCTGATATCAGGAGTCAGGCCCAGTGACTTGCTTGCATTATTATTACTGTGTGTGTGCGTGTGAATGTCGGGGCTGTACACCTCCAGTATAACAGATTCCCTCCTGACCACAACTCCATGTGTTGCGTGTTTAATGGTTGTAAACAGCTGCCTACACTCTCACACATGTTGGGGACTACACATGAGAGCTACACTACAGTATGCGGTGTGAGTCACTGTCTCGCCAATGCTTCGCTGACACACTGTATACGGCATTATTGAGGATCTAAGCTGTTAATCTGTCGGGCGTCTTCATCGTATGGTGCTGCTGCAGGAAACGACAGCGTCCTCCGATTACAGCTTTCGAAGATCAATGAAATAAATGACCAGCAAGCATCAGGATGAGCAGTTACACCTCAGAAAAGTTGTCTTGTCTATGAAAACAGCCCTCTACAGTAAAATCTGCACATACTTTTGCACACAATAAAGGTTCAGCAAGACTTATAATTAGTCCGAGCTGCTCCTGTAATGGTGGTGGTGTTGGGGGGGTTGAAAATATGAACAGTTTGCTTGGTTTGCACTTAGATGGTAATTAATGCCTCTCCCTGCCAGCCCCACCATACTGCTTGGAAACCTTGCCACACTCCCTTCACACCGCTCTCAGTGCCAGCCTTTGTCTATACTCCCAAACACACACATGCACTCCACAGCGATGCTCCTTTGCACACGCTAACATGGCACACATTACAGTTTTCCTTCACACATGCACACACGCTTGCACACAATTAACAATTCTCCCCTTTGTGTTTGGCATACATGGGTCACACATGGCATCCAAATGGGTGCTGGGTAATGTTTTTTTTTTTTTTTTTTGCTCTATCTCTGTGTTTCTCTGTCTGTACATGTCTCTGAGGCTGTAATGAGATTACTGTAATCCAGCTTGGCCGGAGAGAGGAGGAAACCCAAATGCTGTTTACCTCACTTTCTCCCCTCTCCTCCCTCTTTGGAAGTAATCCTCTCGTTAATTGTCAGTAAAGACGACTGCAGTGTTTCAGTGCTGTATCTTATGTGAATGAAACAGAGGCAAGATGAGACAGACAGGAAACAGGAAAATACGTGGAGATACTTGTGTCTTGGTGACAGGTCGGTCAATTCTTGGGCCTACAAGCCAGCACTGTAACACACTGACACAAAGATAGATCATTAAGAATTTGTCCTAGACAGTATTTCACAAGTTTATAAAGTTTCCCCTAAGTTAGCACATCACAAAACTCAGCAACTTTTCAAGGGAGTCTAGTAGGGGTGGGGGAAAGAATCGATACAGCATAGTCAGTACGTTTACATACACAGCTTAATTGAGCTATGGTCAAAATTCGATTTTGGCGTCTAATCGGACTTCTGTCCTTGTCCCACTTTACATGCAACTGAGAAAATCGAATTACTGACAGGAACGTGCCCTCCCCCTCAACACTAGGTGGCGATATGCGTCGTTTCAGCGGGTTAATACGGCCCCCTTTCTGGTTGACCTATTACGTCACTTAATAATAAACAACTAAAGTCAGACGGCAGACCGGCATTTTTTGAACAACAGCAAGATGGATAATCGTACAGCTTTGTTCATCTCGTAAGTAATGTACGCACACTGATTGTGCAGATAAGGTGTACGCTATCCCTCGTGGTCATGGTGATTTCGAGAGGCAGACAAGAACGCCATATGCTGTTGGAGGGCTACAACAATAGCATGTCTTGTCTGTTCTGGGGTCATACGCCAGCGCGGGGGGGTGTGGAGCATGCGCACATGCATTGTCTAGTTTAACTCCAATTAAGGCGTATACATGCCGGAGAAAATCGAATTCCAATTGCATTAACTGGGTGTCTTAATCGTGGTTGGAGAACTCCGATATTAGTCGGAGTAACGCGTTTACATGCACTTCAGTTGTCCAGTTATAGTCGGATTAAGAGCCCCCCCGCATTTACTGTCTACCTGGTTTGCTGCTTCCTGTTTGGTGCTGTTGGTCGTTGACAGTTTTTAAGTCAGTATTTGCTTGAGCCAGACCGCGACCCACTAGTCGGGAACCACTTTAGATGACCCAACTTTCTCTATCAGAGATCATGTTGCGTAACGTTATAGTGTGGCTCCAAAGTGAACTAAATGGGATTTATAGTTGTGCGCAGACCCTACACACGTGGCTTACGCCGTTGTGAGCATTTATACTTGTACGGTGGTGTGTCTGTGTCACTCTGCAGTCACACCTCCAAAACACTAGGGGGCAGCGGAGGTTTCTGTGAAGTGCTGTAAAGTTTAGTTGTTTCAAAACACACATTAAACACACATTAAAAACATTAAACATGGCTTAATAGAGACAATTTCAAACACAAGTACACAAATCAGCTTCACTATAACTCGCAGCATTCACAGACAAACACTTGTCTTTATCTGGACACATTTTCCCCACAAATACAACATGCTAACGTTGTTAGCACAAGCCTATGGCCTTTTACATTGCATAAATTAGCCTAGCAGCTAGCAAACTTTTCCTGTTCTCATATAAAACCAGGGACAACAGCAACATTTAACAAAGGTAAAGGCACATAATGTGGCTCCATTACAACTCACATCATTCACTGACAAAACAACTGTCTTACACTAAACACGTTTTCCAAACAAATACAACATGCTAACGTTATTAGCACAAGCCAATGGCATTTTACATTGTATAAATTAGCCTAGAGACGAGCGGAGATTTCCTCTGCTCATATGAAGCCAGGATAAATCACACACAAGACTTAGTATATAAACACTTGATTGAATTACGTCGATGTACGTGCAAGAGCAGTAGATGGTTATAGAATAATTATGTGTCCATGTGGGATGGGATCATGAACCATGAAATTCAAATATGAATGAATGTATCTGTATTACAAATGTCAGCCATAAAGGCAAAAATGGGTCACACTGGTTTATTGGCTCCAAGTCAGAACGTGGTTAATCAGCCAGAATGCTCCCTAAAGCCTGATTTTGACTTCTTAGTCTTTGTTGTCTCATCCCATGGGTAACGTTTGTAACGGTTGCCCAGCCTCATCAGCCAATCAGCTGTGCTCAGCTGCAAAGAGCAAATAATAAGGATGTGTTTTGTGTGTCTGATGAATTTATATCCATCTCTCTGTCTTTTCCCTCAGATGACATCATGCAGAGGGAGGATGGTCCTCTGTGTGCAGCAGAAATCGGCTCCGAACTCCAGAAACAGTTCGCCATCCTGCCAGGTGGGTTGGATTTCTGTTCTGAGGATGTGTGTGGCACCATTTAGCCACTTCAAATAACTCTGTGTTTTCTTGTGTAAATGGACAGCAGAGCGTAGAGATAATTAGCTCGCAAGTGATGCTCAGTTTAAGCAAATTTAGCTAATGAACTGCAGCTCCACTTTTGGACATAAGTGCAAGTAGACCCAGTGAGTAGGCTGAACAAATTAAATTCAATACACAGTGTAATACTGTTAAATTATTAGACCTGCAGGGAAGTGAAGTGGGGAAGTTCAGGCTGAACTTGTAACCCCAGATGGGTCCTGTTTCTAAACTGGCAGCTTGGATTAGATTACATTATTTTGGAGAAGTGGGTATTTGGTGTGAAATCACATTCATGTAAGCCACAGGGGGATTTTATGTAAGAATAGAACATATTGGGGCGTCGGTGGCTTAGTGGTAGAGCAGGTGCCCCATGTACAAGGCTGTTGGCACAGCGGCCTGGGTTCGACTCCAGCCTGTGGCCCTTTGCTGCATGTCACTCTCTCTCTCCCCCTTCACGCTCATCTGTCCTATCGATTAAAGGCTTAAAAATGCCCGAAAAAATATCTTAAAAAAAAAAAAAAGAATAGAACATATTGGGCTATTTAAATACCTTTCTTCATCCTTGTTGTAGATATTATGAGAATTGTCTTAGCTATTAACCCAGTTGATCACTTTTTATTTCCGTATAGCTTCATTCAGTTACTTACACAACATTTTACAGATTTAAGTTTGGACAGCTTCTTCTTTTGTCACATTGCCAGATTCCAGAAGTGGCTCCACTTTTCCTCAGTCTACAGACTTTAAAGTGGCATCACTCGAAAAATTATTCTGGACTTTTGGCTGTTTTCTCTGTTTGTATGTGTGTTAGTTTAAACTCTGTGTATTTAAGTGAGGTGTATTCGAGGCCCTGCCCTTTGTGCTGTAGTTGTAGAACAAGCGGCAAATCCAGGGCTGAAAAATGAAGCCAATATGAAAAACTGCAGTTCCTCTAATGGCCACTTGAGGCTGGCTCTAAGAGCGAGTCAATCCCCATTAGAGCTTAGATTGGGCCCAAAAAATGCAGCCCAACCCGGCCCGAGCCAGAGCACGTTGTGTCTGGGACCGGCCCATCCCGTCCAATTAACTGTAATTATGGGCCCGAGCCCGATTTAAACACCGGCATTTTTCAATAAGTTGGCTGTTATAATTAAGAGTGCCCACGGTGAGCGCGTTAGTGCCGCGGAAGTCCTGCAAGTGTACTCGCAGGCGCTTGACTGTCCACACAGGCAGCGAATTTCTCCTGCGCTCTCTGCGCCGGTTGAACATCGACTCCATTTGTCTGTTCCTGTCAGTACTCGTTTTTTCACAGATCATTTTAAACAAAAACCACAATTCTTGTCATTTGAATGACAGAAATATAGGATCATAACTTTATGTGTCATACAAAGTGTGGTTTAATTTTACAAGCCGGGTCGGGCCGGGCTCGGGCAGAGAATCTAAGCTCTAATCCCCATAGACCCCCATGTTAAAATGCCCAGCTTTACAGTAGAAAAAGAAATGTGTACAGCCTGGTACAAAAAAAAAATAGTCTTTACAGCTAATTTCCTCATTCATGAAAACTGTATGGGGGTGAATTTGTATCTAACTCACCTATTTAAATGTTATTAAGGCCTAAAGTTATGCGTAAGGGAGTGGACACTTTGAGTGACAAGTGGGTGCCATCTGTTGACAAGTTACCACAGCGACAACGTTGGTTAGGTTACATAAACAATTTATGAAAGTTAACTGGAATATTTTGGTCGCCTAAAAAGTCTTGTTCAGTGTTTGGTTGAACTAAAAGAACCTCAGGAGTCAGATATTCCGTTTTTCTGACAAGTACAGTTAGTTGTAATGGTTTTTAGACTCTGTTTTAGCATCATCACAGTTAACCACAGCTGTAAATGCACCATGCTAACTAAGCCAGAAACTCCATCGTCAGGTCCAAAAATGGTCACTTCTGACTCCAATAATCCAAGATGGCAACGGCCAAGGCTTCAAAATGAGAGTCCACCAACCAATGGGGGACATCCGGGTTCCCGGACTTTACAACTTCTGTGTCAGTCATGTGATGCCATCGGGCCCTTTTTCCCATAGACTTACCTTTAGAAAGAGACGTCTATAAATCAGTAGATACACTTTCAAAAAAATGACTGGTTTAACTCTCAGGATTTGATCCATTTGGTCCGATAACATTTTGTCCCCTCTTCGGTTAGCAAACGCTAAACAGGAAAAGCCATCGATAGTTAGCAACTTGGCTAGCGAAGTCTGTAGTGCATGTGCTCGATGGGCCCAGAGATGTGCAAGATCCAGGTAATTTTAGACATGGGAAGTCAAACTTTTTTACTTCATGAGCCACTGAGCAACTTTTATAGACATGTACGTGGCCTCGCCTCCAACACTGAATTCAGTTTATACATCCATGGTGATGTGATGGTGGCTGTGTCCAGGATTTTATACAGTCTGTGCTTCAGCTTTATTAACCTGCATTGCACTGTTGAGCCAAGTATGTGTCACGTCTCGCTCAGCCACTTAACTTCCTTTAGAAGTAAACACAATGTTATTGTATCACATTCAAGAAAGACAAACAGACGTATTCTGTACTTGGAAAAAGTTCCTCTAAAGTTCTCAAGAAAAATTTGACATTTTATTTAAGTTTTACACAAACAACCACTCACATGGCAACATGAAAAAAAGGACATGCACACTGATACACACAGAAACACACACTTAGGGCCCAGGGTTGGGTTACCATGACAATAATGCCTGTCGAGTGACGGCATGTGAATAATTCATTACCCCAATGATCTGCTCTGCAACTCGACCCATCGACGAAAGAGAAGGCCCAGTGTGTGTGTGTGTGTGTGTGTGTGTGTGTGTGTGTGTGTGTGAGGCCTTTTGATTTGATATACTGTCCTTTTAGTTTTTGTCCTTTTGTATGGACATGAGTGGAAAATGTGTTCAGTGTCAGTTAGTTCACAATGTTTAATTCTAGTTAAGTTTCCATTAGCTCACAGTGTTAGTTTCATTATGAAAATATGAGGGTGTTTCAGTACAAACACTTTATGAAGGCAGTTGACTTACGGTCACGTAGACATCGTTGTGTCGACAAATTTGACCGTCTTGTATATTTTAATGTTATTTTTGTTAGTTTTATAAGTAGATTATATTGTTTCTGTTAGCTGAGGGCTGATACTGGTCCCATATGAAACTAGTATTTGAATATTCCTGCAGACTGGGCTCCCTAAACAGTCTCCGAATTACATAAATCAGGTCTGACAGGAAAGCTGAGACTCTTGTGGATTCAGTGAACGCAATTTAATAAATGTTTGATGATATTAGCCCCCACAGAAGCCATTTCATTGTAGTAAGACTGTTTTTTGAAATGGATCAAAAAAAATCAAAAAATCAGTGTGTTAAATGACCTATAGTGACCTCGAGAATAATCACAGCCTCATGAAACTGTACAAACACAAAGTAGAGACCACAGAGACGTGTATTCAGAGTATGGATGGCTTTCATAGGTATATTAATAATCAGGGGCTTTCAGCAATTTTCAAAACAAAAGTGTTTGCCATCCAGTCGCCAAAAAATGCAATTCTTACAGTTTTTGATTCCTAAAAACAGCATGGATTTTATTCTGTGTTGTCCTTCAAGGTCTTTCCAAAACCCTGTACCAAAGTGTATCAACCCATAGAGACGTAGATGATCACGGGAATGGCCGTCGCACATTTTGACCATGATGTTCTAAGCCCCTATACACTCTAAACCTTTAGAATCCGAAAAAGCGCCTAACCAAAAGTAAAGTTTATTCCAGATTTATGACTAGAAACTCTTGACACACAGGGCTAAGCTGCATCTCAAATGAATCTTCAGATTGCCAGCTTTCAGGTGATATATACCACTCGATGTGGCATATACTGTTGACCTGCTATTGCCCCCAAAATGATCCCACCTCTCCCAAAAACATAAAGACAAAAATGTGTCTATGTGGGTCTCAGAGGGTGATGTCTCTCTGCTCCAGAGCTCCAGTTGTCACATAGAACAAGTCAATATAAGATCCCCAACATGCCAAAACACTGCTCAGATGTCACAGAGCCACCTGTGTCTGTCTCCCTGACCTGTGTGTCTCCAGGGGGCCGCGGGATGAACGGCAGCCCCATCATCGTCTTCCCAGAGTTCCCCGATTTCAGCGAGCTGGAGGAGGAGGAGATCCAAAATGTCCTTGGCTACCTCAGCAGCATCCCCAGGTTAGCACATACGCACACACACACACAAAGGGACACGCTCTCGGCAGCTTCATTTGGTTTGACGACAAACTGTGAAAGGGATGCGGCCAATTTGTGGGGGTGCAATACCACGTGTGGCCACCGGATGTCAGCACAACACCAAAGGCCTGCCACAAGGAGAGAGCCACAAAAGACATAAAGAAATAGATTCAAGGGAGAACGAAAGGTTGCAGGGAAAGATATTTTAGATATTTTATATTCTGCAGACCTCCCAGTGAATAGCAAATTAATTTATTCCAGATATGGACAGAATTTTTCAAAATAAACTACCTCAATAAACCTGGTTTCAGATGTTCTTGAGGTTAAATGTAACATAATTAGTTTTGCATCATACACACTTCTTTTCTTCTCTCTCTCCTCCTTTATTGTCTCCTCCCTCTCACCTCCCCTCCGTCTCCTTCACCTTTGCTTTTCTGCTGAGCGCTGCACTCCCCTCACACACACATACTCATGCATACACACACATAATTAAGGGGAGGAGAAAGGAAGGAGATGCATGTGTGTGTGTGTGTGTGTGTGTGTGTGTGTGTGTATATGTAGATGTACTTGTGTGTGTTCATGTGTGTGTGTCATGGCGGCCTTTTCTTTTTTTCCTGTGGCTCATCACCTTTCATATCCCACTAGCCCCCTCTGAGTCCCCTCCCTTTCTCCCCACCAGCTCTTTGCACCCAGCTGCCAATCGGGTGCACTCTTGGCTCCGATTGGCTGTGGGGGAACAGCAAGACGCGGGGCTTGGATTTAATTGGCTGTTGGCTGCAGGCAGGTGGTGGAGGAGCGGAGGGAGAAGGGAGAGGAGGAGGGAGATGCTCTGCAAGGATGTGAGCGGTCACCTCTTTCCATCCGCGGGCTGCAAACAGATGATTGTGGATGCAGGAATTGAACAGTGACAACAGAGCGAGGAGACGTTGAGGAGGACTGGATTATTGCTGGATTATAACAATGGCATATTAAGGATTTTTGTGTGTGTGGAATAGCAAAGATTTCCCCCAGATTTTCAGCCGGCTTCATTCATGTGGTTGGAATATTTTTCCCAGTGAAGATGGATTGAGGATTCGATGCCGCAGCGTTCATTGGGTAGTGCAGTGTGTACATTTCCTCAATGTGTGTGTGTGTCAGGATGAAAATTGGCTAATAATGACGCCCAGATGGGCCGACTCAGCAGTATCCTACATTGGCCCCACAGTGTGTGTGTATGTGTGTGTATTGTGTCTTAATCCGTTTTGTGTTTAGTTGTCAGGGTGCATGTCAATTTCTCCAGCAGGACCTTTGCAAGAATTACTGCATCCACACACACACTGGCACACAGACACGTTAGCTTAATGAGGTTGCTATATATGGTGCTGCCTGTGGAATGAATGGCAAGATTTTCACATACACACACACACACACACACATCAATGCAGAGCCAAGGTTGCCATGGTAATCACAAGGGTCGCTCATAATCATCACTGATGACAGATGATTACTACAGACAGTTGTTGCTTTCGTAGCGTTGCTTTGCAACACCCCCAAAATATTTGGAGATCAAAAAAAAAGACCATTTAAAGGGATAGTTTGTATTTTATGAAGTGGGGTTGTATGAGGTGCTTATCCATAGTCAGTGTGTTACATATAGTAGATGTCATCCCCAGTTTGGAGAAGCAGGCTGGAGTCCAACACGGACGCTACGCAATGCATTGCTGTGGATGGGGGCCAGCAACAAAACGTAACTTAGCAACCTAAAAAAAGTCCCACCTAAAAAAAATCAATATCACTTTAAGAGTTCGCTATATTGAGAGTATTTTCACTTATTTACCTCACTGTCAGACACTGATTTACAATGAGGAAATGAAGCCGTTATATCGCTCTCTTCACAGCCAGACTCCATTGAGAAAAACAGTGATTTAAGATTGCTTAACACAGGAGCTGCTGGTCTACTGCTGCTACAATCGGCTAGTTAGTTTGTGTTATTGTGCGACTTTGGCGGGTCCGAACAAACCCTTTTAAGCGCTGAAGTCACACAAAAACACAAACAAAATAACAGACCGAGGCAACAGTAGACTAGCAGCTCCTGTGCTCAGCTATGTTAAATCACTGTTTTTCTCAATGGAGTCTGGCTGTGAAGAGAGCGATAAAACAGCTTCATTTTGCCATTGTAAATCACAGTCTGACAGCAAGGTAAAGCAGTGAAAATACTCTAAATATAGCGTACTCTTAAACTGATAATGATGAGGTGGCTAAAGCCCTGTTCGGACGAGATGTGGGGTAAAGTAATTCTTACCAGGGATCTTAGTTCCGTCCGAATGTGCCATGTCTGTAATCATTACGGGTAATGTCAGTAAAAATTACGGCGATTTTTACCGATTTTTATCTTAATACCTCGGGTAATATTAATCCCGTGCGAACGTGATCCTCTGTAAAAATGTATATAAATATTTTGTCACGTCCTGTTTACGACCATTTTTCCGCGTTTTTTCGATGATGGAGGCGCTTGAAGAAGCATTCAGTCGTGATAGTGGACATTGTTCTAATGATCACATAGCCCTACTTGGGAGACCAATCAAACAGGTCGAGAAGAAAGCACTTTCAGAGACTTCTGGTTGTGTTAGGTAGGCCTAATATAAATCCATATTGCTAATCGTTGTGGACACACAATCCTGATCATGGGCAATATTTCATACTGGGCTAATCATTAATTATTATTATCCTTCAGCTGATGCTTACAGGAAGCAACGTAGCACACACATGCTGACAGGGAGGTGACGCCAGGGCGCAAACCGAGTTACCGCTCCCATCTGTGGTAGAATTACGGAGATTTCTTGTCCCATGTGAATCGGACATTTATATTACAGACATCCTGTGGTAAACTGACATTAGTCACCATCCCTGTGTAAAACTAATCCCGTCCGAATAGTACTTAAAACATATTTTGTTGCCGGACCCCATCCACAGCAGTACATTGCTTAGCTTCCATGTCAGACTCCAGCCTGCCTCTCCAAACTGGGGATGTCCCAACTGGCATCTGTTATATATAATATACTATCTAATGGATAAGCACCCCATACAACCCCACTTCAAAAAAATCCGAATTCTCCCTTTAATGTGTCAGTTTTATATAAATCTTACACACTATTGTGAGTCAGTTATAGTGACAGCTAGCAGCTAGCTTTAGCTCTCACCAGGTAGTGACTTGAAGCTGAACTCTGAACTCTATGAACTCTGGGAAATGCAGTGCAGTAATATCATAATAATTGATAGTGATATATCTCTAGGTGATAACGGCGTGTGCTTCTCTCCCACAGCGTTGCAGCATCAGGAGTGGGATTCATCCTGGTCATCGACAGACGACTGGACCGATGGGCCGCTGTCAGGGCTACCCTGCTCCGCATCGCAGTAAGCCCCTGTGTACTTGTGTGTGTGAGACTGGATCAGTTTGTTTGTGTGCATCATTTGCTGATGATGTACCTCTGATGACTACAAATGGCTGTTTTGGACTTTGAGCATCACTCTCCTGGTGCTAATGCCTGTTTGAGTATGGGTCTGTGGGTGTAGTTGCTGGTGTCAGCTGTGTGTGTGTGTATAATTTTGTTTGTAATGGATGGTTTGGTGTTTGGTGTGTGTTTTCTCGCCCGTCCAAACTGTACATCATGTGTGTTTGATTCATTAGCTGTATATAAAGACATGTAGTGACAATTATTCGACTGTGTTTTGCTCTCTCTGGATGAAACAAAGCAGAAGGGGAGATAAAAATAGCGTGTTGTGCTGGAGTGGGCGGTGGATCCTCGCAGCGTGTGAACATAATTCGCGCCCATGTGTATGTGTTGAGATATCGTCCTCGAAGACACAGAACGTCTAAACTGTGCGAACCGATTTTGTAACTGTGCCACTGGCCTACTAGCCTACTTCTTGGACGATGTGAAACTTTCACTCCTCTCTGAGATGATGAAGAGTGAGAGTGAGGGATGATGAGAAGAAAGATAGTCAGGAACAGAGAAATAAAGAAGCAGAGGATTGACATCACACAGACTTGAGAATCAAAGTCACTGATCGCTGCTCTCAGAGGTCCTTTAACATGAAAAATGAAAACAGTAGAAAAGGAAACGGCTCTATCTGAGCTCCACCGCACCCTACACATCTGTTGTTAAGATGCCCGTCCTGTAAACACCGTTTAGCATGTTCAGTATATGCAGATATATGCTAATTGGACACTGATTACAATCCAGCCGCATGGTCTTCCCATGGTCTTTGTAAGAAACCGTCCCCACTGTGACAATAAGTCATAACGAAGCTGCTTGCCTCATAAAGACAAGTTATCTTATCCCAGTCCACTGGCCCAGCCTGTGTCCTTGAAGGGGACGTTGATGGACTGTGGGTTGCACTGATAGCAGAGAGCCAATCAGCTTCTCTGTTATAATCAGTGTTAGTGAAACACAAATTGAGATGCATAGAAACAGCTGGCGAGTATAAATGTTCCTTAAACATGAAACCGAAGTCCTTTTATCAGAAGTTATTTTTAGCTTCCATCAATGACTATCCTTTCAATATGAACCAGGAGCCAGCAGCACGTTAGCTTAGCTTAGCATTAAGACTGAAAACAAAGGGAAGCTGCTAGCCTGACTGCTGTCCTTGTCCCAGTATACCAGCACCAGAGGGGAATCGATTTATTGAGCGAAGTATGTCCGACTCCTCTACGATAGATATGCCAAGTTATAAACAAGTTAGCTATGGCTAGCTAGCAGCTAAATGGTACCATGGTGGACAACTTTACAGCTCTGTAGCCTACATTTCATACACGCTGGACCCTTTACTTTTTGTACCGATGAAATGCACGCTGGATGTAGGTTTCGCCATGTTGTTGGTGGATTCTTCTTCTGTTACGCATTTAATGCTATTTGACTTCGAAACTGTGGAGCATGCTCAGAACGCCTAGGCCAGTTTGGGTCTGATTGGCTGTATACATGCAGGAGTAAGTCGACTCCCAGTCACATTATCTAGGTCTGTTAATCCAACTTTGAAATTTGATTTAGTACGATATCAGTCGAAGTAACATGTTAACATGTATTTTAAAAGACTGGTTTTAGTTGGACTAACACAACAAATCCATTTTCTCTAATGTCATGTAAACGCACTGACTGACGTTTTTCAGTATCTTTCACCTTTTCCAGTCTGTTTTGTGTCCAAGTCTCACTAAAGAGAAGTCCTGTTCTGAAATCTTGCAAGAGTTGACTTGCTGCAGGGAGAAAACGGACTTTTCCACATTGTCGAAATCAGCTAAACACTCAGACATGACACTGAAAACCTTTCAAAGAGAAGTAAGAAACGCTCTCTCCAACTCTCTTGTGTTTCCTCCTTGCGCGAAATTCCAGACGAGGCTATTCGTTTGCACAAAACAGACAGGAACAAGGGAAAGGCGCAGAAAAACTCTCCATTTCCAGTCCTTTGCATGATGTTGTAAGACACTCATAATAACAATCTGAGCCTGTTAGCAGCAAAAACCACATTCTCACTCCGACCTCGTCACATATCGACGTTTGGTCATGGACTCTCCATGTGAAGATACGATGTGCAAGGTACCCTGGGTGCATTGGTTGTTGACGTTCTGGGATGTCATGTTCAGCTTGTTACATGCATTGTCTGTTTTCAAAATACACCTCCGTTTTCACAGAAAATGGATGATTTGCATACAGTCTCTTTCAAAATAAAAGCACTACGCTGGTACAACACTGCGAATTGACATGATTTTCCTTCAAAAACAAACGCACATGGTTAGGTTTGCCAACACAGGCAGATGGTTGGGTTTAGGCAACGAAAGCATGTGGTTGGGTTTAGAAAAAAAGATTTGGCTTTACAATTCAGGTTAACGTCAGTGGTTATTGGACCCATCCACCGCCCCTTCCTCCTGCCTTATCGGACTTCCGCTGCCTTTACTTTTGTTGTTGTCCTGCCGCATTTCCCCCTGATGCCAGCAGGTGGTGTTAAACAATAATGGTGACCGGCCGTGTATCATGCCGACGTGAAAAGACGGCTTTTTTCCACCGGTGTCTGACGCTGGAAGTCATTGACCAAGCACTTGATTTCGACGACTTTCGAGTGAGACCAGGTTGCAAAAACAAACACGTGTAGCGAACGTAAATTGGCACAGCGCACCTGCACCTGTGGTTACATCGGAGCCTGTTTCAGTAAACTCTCTCTCAATACTCAAAACCAGGGAAAATAGGATCCAGATTAAAAAATACCAGAGTTCCCCTTTAACTACCATGTTATATCTTGTTTGTTTAATCAATATAAAACTCTCTAAAGCTCTCACTGATGACAATAACACTAGGGCAACGAGTCTCACATTCCTCCATACCCAGTCTTTGACCCTGTGATGTCGAGAGGCAGGTGGGAGTGTATCAGCACGGCAGGACAAGCTTCTCTGCAGGATCTCCTATTGTCCTGCTGATCACCTCGCTCCGTCTCCCTCCATTACTTCTCCTCTTTGTTCTGCTTTTGTGTTTCCACCGTCTCTTTGCTCCTTGGAGTCGTCTTCCACATCCCTCCCACACATCACTTTAAAAAGTGCACCAAGTGGGAGCACTGTATTCTTATCGTCAGCTGTATTTGTCCGAATGTTTATCGTTGGAAAATGAAATCATAGCGTGACAACTGTAAACAGAGAAAATGGTTGATGTCACTGTTTCTACAGCTTCCTATCTCGTGCTGTAAAGCATCATCTACCAATGAGCTGCTGGTAGAGGCTGATAATCTTGTTGACAGCACTAATAACTGAAGCCTCTCATGATCTAGACTATTCTCAGCAAAATGAGGTCCTTATATCGTCTTCTCAAAGATCCTTTTATATGAGACCCGTTCAGAAAGATACAGCAGGTGTGTCAGCTTTAAGTCCTGCAGGTTTCATGTAGAGAGCATTGTATCCCGAGATGTCCACGATTGCACAGGCAGCATTATAACGCAACCTGCAGGCATGAGGAGCAGGTGGCGAGAGCAGCGTCTCCTCCTCAGTCCCCTGTGGTGGACGTCCGTCTCGGCCCGGGCAACGCCTGCTTCGTCCGCCAACCAATGACACGCCGTCTTACTGGAGAATGAAGGTCTTCCATCTTCCCGCGAGGCTCTCTGCTCATCAAGGCCGTTCAAGGTCGCCTGCTGCCATTTGCCGGTTCCCCTGCCGGAAAGAGAAGTGATTAGCGTGTGTGCACAGATGCTTACAGGCTGGCATGTTGGCTGGCTGACCAGCAGCGTTTAGACTCATGCACAGGGATGGAAGATGAGCTTTGACCTCTCGTTGATAATCATGTAATTAAATGGCATTTGGCTCCCTTTCCGACATGATAGCTTAACATGGTTGGTACCAGTGGATGTCCAGCTTGTCTTCTCACCTCTCACCATCAGCTCTGCCTGTCGTATCTGCTGCATCTTCATATTTTCTTGTGCCAGACATTTGTGCATCACCTGTCTGCTCGCTTCATCATCATCGTCTTTATTAGTCAAAGTTTCTGAATCTTCTCCGGATGCTTCAACACCCAACCTCCATCCAGTCGTCCACATTCTTCCTGTTGATCTCCCGTCCAAATCCCAGACTTCAATGAGGGCAAACAGGGAGAATCCACATGCTTCTGCACCTTCGTCGCTGTTGCAGCCCATCTTTGTGATTTAGCCTAATAAATATGCACTCACTGAAGTATACAGGAACATTGCTGCCGGGCTACAAACGCAGACAGCTCTATCAGCTGGTGCAAAGAGGACACCTGAATTTGTTGCTACCCGGCTAAAAAAGCCAAAGAGCACAGCAGCCTCTGTCGGTGTCTTTGTCATAATTTGGACACTCTGAGCATGTGAATGGAGGAGGTTTAATATGGTGGAGCTGTAACTCCCACGAGGACAATGTGGACGTCATTAGACGACAACACTGGAGTGGGTTTCCTCCCCAGAAGAATATAAATCAGCCCGGTCAACAGAAAATGATATTCTAATCCTAATCATTTATTTATGTGCGCTTTTTATCTGCGAGGAGTGCGCGCGTGTGCATCCCTTTAATGTCCAAGTGTGTGTCCAGGGGTAGCGCATTAGCATGTGTGTGTTCATCTGTCAGGGGGATGCACCGAGCAGATTGTGTATTATCATGTTAATGCGGAGGTACAAATTAAAGCAAGACCTCTCAGGGTTTATTGAATTTAATGGATTCCAATTACGGATATATGCTTCCTGTGTTGTTGGGAGGAGAATAATTTGCTTGGCTTATTTATTCTTGTTCTTTCCTGTAGTTTTTAACCCACATGTGTGATTTGGTGTTATTGAAAATGTGCCGTCAGTTTGGGAGGAAATTGGAGAAGATGTAGAACGAGCGCTGAATTTTTCCAACCTGGCTGTCTTTCATCAACATCACAGCAGGCGGAGTGTGTGTGTGTGTGTGTGCCAAAAATAAATGAGTGGAGGTGCAGCACCATCCACACTTTTTAAAAAGACATCTCTCTCCCTTAATTTGCCCCTCGCACACACACACACACACACACACACACACACACACACACACACACACTGCCTGTCTGTATCATCACTCTCGCCTGCATTCCGTCATGCACTCTCCATCTCTCCTCATGCGTTTTGCCAAGGAGACCGTTTCCATGGTAACGCAGTTCAGGCATTTCATGACTATGATGTATGTGTGCCGCTGTGTGTGTGTGTGTGTGTGTGTGTGTGTGTGTGTGTGTGTGTGTGTGAGCACAGGTCTCCTCGCAGACTAAATTAAAACCACGCACAGGCTTTTTTTAACCGATTCTATTAAAGTGCTCGCGCCTGTTGTTACGGGATGTTCTCGATGAGTATCAGCTCTTTAGCGATGATGTCGGATGCAGGCGATGGGTGGCACCATTTTGTTACCATGTTGCTCCCTCACATTTGAGATACAACCCCTCTAAATGGTTAAATGATGCAATAAACCTCGTAAAACAAAAAATTTCCAGATCATACAGTGTAATATTTTTGTGTTTTCTATCTTGTCACACATCCCTCAGCGTGCCTCTGGCCCTGTGTGTGTGTGTGTGTGTGTGTGTGTGTGTGTATGTGTAGAGAAGTGTGCAAACATGTCACCCCACATCGATTTATGATGCCTAACAGGGTGGAGTAATTCACCCAGGGTTTTTAGACGAAGCCATAAGCAATATAGCCTTTCAGCTGAGTGGCCTCTTGGGCCAGTGTCTGTGTGTGAAGGCAATTCTATGCTTTTAACCTGTTAGTGTGGAGGTGCAGAAACAGAAACTGAGGTTAGTCCCAAAGCCACAGGATTAATTTGCCGTGTAGTCGGAGGTTGCTTGACAGGACGTGCAACGAGGGAGCAACTGTGAAGATTTGTAGGAGAATTGGAGGATATTAAATCTCAGACAAACCCGTTAGTGGTTCAGGATTGTAGCAGAGGGACAGACGGAGGAAAGTATTTGTGTTAACCAACTGGGGCATCTGTCCGTGTTGTCCAAATTGATCCATGTAACCTATCTTACCCCTGCAGACTGTTTCCACACCTGCATTCCCCTAAAATTGTAACATACACATACCAGCAGATTACTAAAAGCTTTTATACCCTCTCTTTCTTCTCTCCCAGGGTTCATTTCCAGGGAACTTACACTTGGTTCTGGTGCTGCGTCCCACTACTTTGCTCCAGCGGACTCTATCAGACTTCCTGTTCAAGTACAACAAGGATGAGTTCAAAATGAAGGTATGACATGTACATATCGTTTGGCTAAACTTTCAGCTTCTGAAATAATCAGATAAGTTATTTTGCTTCTTAAATGTGCACAAAATGTCTCTTAATTGGGAGTCGGACAGCAGCTCTGCAGCTCCGCTCTGATCTCTGCTACGTTCACATTTCACAGAATGTTATTAATATTTTCCTCATTAATGATTCATTAATTCACCCATCCGCAGGCTTAGATGATGCTCTCCTTGAGACAGTCCTGAGACTTGTCACATCCAGATATTAAAGTCACATAATGAAAGCATCATCTTTGTCATCACTGTCTCTGTTTTATTGGCAGAAATGTTAATTTCGGGCCAATGCTGATATTTCATTTCGGAGCCAAAATAAAGCTACATATAATTAGCTGATTCTGTTTGTTTTATCAGGTGGTGATGCTGAGTTCGGTGACTGAGCTCCACGCCTACATCGACCCTGGACAACTGACCACGGAGTTGGGAGGCTCGCAGGAATACTGCCATGACAGCTGGATCTCACACCGCACTGTATGTACACACACGCACAAACTTTTCTTTGTTCCTGTCTTTTGAAGTGCATTTTCTCACACTTTAAAGATTTTTTTTTTTTTTGCACGTGGGATGGTATCCATACAAAAGAATTACAGACTTTTTCCGGTATGTCTTTTCATGTTCAACCCGAATGTCTCCTCTACAGGCAATCGAGGCGTTCGCCCTCATGGTGAAGACCACGGCTCAGACCCTGCAGGCGTTTGGCACTGAGCTCGCAGAGACAGAACTACCCAACGATGCCGAGGCCACCACCAACCTGCTGCACACACACACTCTGAAGAAGGAGAGAATGAAGGTCAGATTCCTGTCTTTTCCACGCGTGGTATCCAGCCATGTGTTTTAATCTGTCTCTTGCTCTCTGTTGCACCAAGAGCTTTAATGTTGATCAAAATTATTTGCTCAATTTTCAGGAGGACCTGCAGGTGGCGCTGTCTCAAGGGGGACGTCTGTTGGAGTGCATCAATGAGCCTCTACAGACAGACCCTGAGTACAGCATGACCTACGATGAAGTGGAAAACTTAGCTACTGTACAAAGGTAGACGAGAAGATGATGGAGACATAGCAAGATGAGGAAGTTGCTCCTGCTCGCATTCATTAATCCTCTCTCCTCTCTTCCCATCACTCCTCCTCCCTTTTTTTGCCCTCCTCTTCTTCAGACTCCTCGGTCAGCTGGACGAAACAGAGACAGCGTTCGAAGACTTCTGGGAGCGTCACCGCACCAAGCTGGAGCAGTGTTTACAGCTCCGCCATTTTGAAAAGCACTTCCGTGAAGTGAGTTGCATTCCAGGAAAAGTAGTTTTAAACCTGTACTCATGACGCAGCATTAACAATGCGTGTGTTCGTAGGTGCGTGCCCAGCTTGACGTGACATCCGAGCGCTTGTCTGGTTTCTCAGAGGTCAGCATAAGCCCCGCCCATGCTGAGCACGTTCTCCGAGAGCTCAGAGGCCACGAGGACAAAGCCAGTGTAAGACACACGTGGAACAGAAAACACTTTGACCTTTGATGCATCCTTGAAGCCATGTGGCTAATGATATAATCAATGTGATGCCCTGTTCATCCCCCCCACTCGCTGGGAACGAGTGGAAGTAGATGGACCAATGATACATTAGGCAAATATAAGCCAGGAGAGGACAATGGGAGGTCGTTTTACAGTCAGTGGTTGATTGATTGGCATGTCCACTGCTGTTAACTGACAAGCCACTGTTCTCGGTGTATCCTTGAGTATATTAAGCACAAATCTCATCACTGTGTCTCAATAGGACGCACTAGACCGTGCCATGTCCCTGGCTGGTGAAGGTGACAGGCTGATAGAGAACTCCCACTATGCCGAGGACTCCATCAGGCCGAAATGCAGCGAGCTGAGAGCAGTGTGCGAGGAGATCAACTCCACGCTGCGGAGCAAGAAGGGCCTACTGCTCAGGGCCATGGAGCTCCACCACGCTCTGGAGAAGGTATGGGTGGCGCTCAGATTGTATGTGTATAATGTAAAGAAATGGGAGTAGTAGAAAAAGAAGAATAAGACACTTTTCCTTCCAGGCGTCACGGTGGTGTGAGGAGGGCATCTTCCTGTTGGCAAGCCAGCCAGTGGACCGCTGTCAGTCTCAGGACGGAGCCGAAGCAGCACTGCAAGAACTGGAGCGATACCTGGACACAGCGCCGCTGCACACCCTCACCGACCGCAGCGCCATCTGCTGCCAGTATGAGGCAGTGTTAACTACTCACCTCAGGGTCAGCAGGAAGTGGATTTAACAGATGACATCATGTTTCGTTCACCTTTTAGTTATCTCACTGCAATAACTGTGTGTTTGCATGTCATTAGGACCAGATAGAGAAAGTTTTCCAGAAGCAAAGTTCTGTCCAGGAGATGTTTGAGAAGAGACGTGTCAGCCTGAAGAAACTCGCTGCTAAACAGACCAGACCAGTCCAGCCAGTAGCACCGAGGCCTGAAGTGAAGTCTCCACTGTCCTCTCCCAGTAAGGCTGTGATATTCAGAGCAGTAACACAGCAGCAAACCACTGTTGTCTATGTAAAGATACAGCCGAGTAATGGCTATATACATGGTGTCCTGAGTTGTGGTTTCTGTGGTTGTCAGTGTGTGTATTCCACTGGTTAGCTCATCACCGCTACTTTGCACGTTCTCATCAGGTTACCTCTGATATGGGATAGCGATGTCACAGAAGCGTAGTGCTCACCCAGTTCCCCCCGATTAATGCTGCTTACTCTGTCAGCACTGTTGTTTAGCACTGTTTATGGGGTTAGCGTCGTTTGCTAGCGGCTTGCTCAGTCATCTCCAGGCTTAGTTTTGGCAGCCATTTTAGATTTAGTCTTCTTCTTGAGATAAAAACGCCTATTAGTTTTAATCACATTTTAGTTATGTTTAACGTTCACAGATTTTTTTGTCTAGTTTTAGTCGACGAAAACTCAAAACACTTTAGTTGACAGCCATTCAGCAGCTAACGAGCAGCGCTAACTGCTAACAGCCACCACTGCAACTACCAAACTCCACAGATCCATTCAACAGCACTAACATTCACAGTCAGACACACATGGCGGTTTATTTACTGCCGAATTACAGCTCACAACTCGCACCAAAGGCTAACGCTGCTCCGATGTGAGTGTCTTTGTCGGCTAGGAAAACTTCTTGGTGCAGACTATTTACTGGAGTTTACTAGCCTGTCGTTCATCCGTTCTTTCAGTGTCCGATAGTCCACCACGAACATTTTCGTCACATCTTGTCTCGTCAACGAAACTGAAACATAGTTTTCGCCATAGTTTTCATCAACATTGATCACCTTTATGTTGAGGACTGCGTGCAGGCAATTCACACACTCTGGATTTTGCCCCTTTAATGAAAGAGAGCAGCAGTTTTAGCGAGGCTTGATTTTAAATCAGAGCTCATCTCACCTGGTTGGTGATAAAAACATGTTTTGTCTCTGTCGTTCAGATCAGCAGAGAAAAGAGAGAAGATACTCCGCAGATAATGCCATCAAAAAGGTAACCACTGATCAACTGTCTAAGAGTTTTTCTTAGAGGTTATTAAAAGATATGTCAAAGCAAATACTGTATATGAATGTGTGTGTTTCCAGGTGGAGTCTCCCCTTCACAACGGTGGCACCAGACATGCTTCTCTCTCAGAGGAAGAAGAAAACCTGGCAGTGCTTCGGCGGTAAGGGATCAAATGTCATCCTCAGAGCCAATGGACAGTGATACTGAGCTCACTTTTCTTTGTCTGTATCAACTAACTGAAAGCTCTCTCAACGTATAATGTTTAAGAGATACACAGTTACCACGACTGAAACTTGTATTATGTGTTTCTGTGCTCCAGCCACGTGATGAATGAACTGCTGGAGACGGAGAGAGCGTATGTGGAGGAGCTACTGTGTGTGCTGGAGGTGAGTGTTTGCCATGTCACACATTCATCTGCTCTCTGTATCAGCAGCTCTGTTGATGTAACGTACTGTATGTAATATTAAACTCAGGGCTACGCAGCTGAGATGGACAACCCTGCCATGGCTCACCTCATCCCCAGCACCCTGCTGAGCAAGAAGGTCGTCTTGTTTGGCAACATGTCGGAAATCTACGAGTTTCACAAGAGGTATGCGTCTTTATGCTATGCTAAGCTAAGCTAATTAGCGGCATATTTACCACACACATCTAATTAAACTCTTAAATGTCATGTCGTTTGTCTCCAGGACATTTCTAAAGGAACTGGAAGCATACACTGACTGCCCAGAGCTAGTGGGCCGCTGCTTTTTAGAGAGGGTAAGTGCTCACTTCCTGCTCTCTGAAGCCAATAACAAATGTTAATCTCAAAAAGCTGAATTCACATACTTTCATTTGCGTCTGCAGATGAAGGACCTACAGATCTACGAGGCGTACTGCCAGAACAAACCTCGCTCTGAGAGCTTGTGGAGACAGTGCTCCGACTGTGCCTTCTTCCAGGTCTCACCTCTCTCCTCATACCGTAGTGACACCTTTTGTCGGAAAATTCCTTCTCAAATTTGCTTAAAAATGAGGTGTTAAAAAGAATTCAATCGAAGTGTGTGAAACACCCTGTTATGTGTTGTGAACCAGGAGTGCCAGAAGAAGCTGGAACATAAACTTGGTTTGGACTCCTACCTCCTTAAACCTGTCCAGAGAATCACCAAGTACCAGCTACTGCTCAAGGTGAGCTGTGTCCATGTACTGTACACACTCTGTGTGCGGTTATATCAAACTCACTTTTTGTTGTGCGTTTGCAGGAGTTGTTGAAGTACAGCAAAGGCTGTGATGGCTGCGACGACCTACAGGAAGCACTCTCCTCCATCCTGGGGATCCTGAAAGCCGTTAACGACTCCATGCACCTCATCGCCATCACAGGATACGAGGTCAGAGAAATAATTTGACTCTAAGAGATGTCGTTTAGCTGATTGGCTGATTGACTTGTCGAGAGTGGACCATAATTGCTTCCGTCTTTTCTCAGGGTAACCTGTCAGAGCTGGGTCGCCTGCTGATGCAGGGCTCCTTTAGTGTGTGGACGGAGCATAAAAAAGGTCACGCCAAGGTCAAGGACCTGGCTCGGTTCAAGCCCATGCAGAGGCACCTGTTCCTGCACGAGAAGGCGCTGCTCTTCTGTAAGAAGAGAGAGGAGAACGGCGAGGGCTATGAGAAAGCGCCGTCCTACAGCTTCAAACACTCGCTCAGTGTAAGCTCACATCGGTCAGAGTTAATATTCGTCCTCTGGGTAGGTAGCAGCGAGAGATCAGGGCTGACTGTGTTCTGTCTTTGACCTCTCAGATGAGTGCGGTGGGCATCACAGAGAGCGCCAAAGGAGACAACAAGAAGTTTGAGATCTGGTGCAACTCCAGAGATGAAGTTTTTATTGTCCAGGTACGATCACTCGGCGTCACTGCTTTGATCAATGAAGAACCTCCATCACTGTTAATGTCACTGTCATTGTTTGTCTCATCCAGGCTCCGACGCCAGAGATTAAAACAGCGTGGCTGAACGAGATCCGAAAAGTTCTGACCCAACAGCTCAAAGCCTGCAGAGGTATCGTACCAACACAGCTGCACATGCACGTTTTTGTCTTTCGCACAACCTTCTGCTTTCAACTGCGGTTCATGTTTCAGATGCCAGTCAGCAGAAGAGCTCCGACTCTGTCTCCCCGAGTCCCACCAGCAACACCTCCATCTCCCTAAGGTTGGTGTCTTGCCTTATAAACTGTATGTCAAGGCACACCCACAGATACGATGCCTTTTATTTATCGCTGTGTTTTCGTCTCTTACCCAGTCCCTTTCGTAGCAGCGGCCAGAAAAACCAGAAGAAGCAAGAGGAGAAGAAGGCGGAGACGAGCTCGGTGTCCGACTCCTCGTCTTCACCCAAACATAAAGGTGAGTTTTGCATCCTTGTGCATTGACATACAATGAGTTCATTGTTGGTCAGCTATGGCTGAAAGCTGCAGTGTAAACTCACTGATCTTCTTCTCTTCGTCACCTTCATCCTCATGGTTCCTCTTTCTGTCTCTATTTTCTTTTCTTTTTTTGGGGTTGCATTTATTCCTCCGTTACTACAACACTCTCTTTTTCCTTTCCCCCTGCTTTCCATTTCAAACCATTGTTTCCAGATGAACCAGTGACCAGTCCAACCACTGACAGGTCTTCAGTGGCTAAAAAGCGTTTTACTTTGCAGGGCTTCAGCAATCTCAAGAGTCCGAAAGGTAACATTAGCAGACCTAAAACAGGCACACGAAGTTTAGACCAGTTTAGTGCCATTAGTCAGGCTATATGTAACTATTGCATTCTTTTTTAATTGATGAAAAGTTTAATTCAGGAGGCACTAAGATAGGAATGGACAGCGTTTTCCATACAGCCAGGTCAGCCTTTTAATGAAAGGTCTGTCATTGCCCCCCGTTGAACCTCAATCAGAGCCTGATGCAGTGTAATTGGTCCTCACTGTGTCCGTTGCTGTTATGCTGCAGACACGCTGCCCCCTGGTGGTGAAGGTGTAGCATTGAGACTGCTGTAGTTTCCTCTGCATTAGATTCACCAGATCTTTGCATTGATTGCAGAAGTTATCATGTATACATCAGCTCACAGCAGCAGCAGCAGCAGCAGCAGGAGAGGAAGTATTTAAATTTTTTACTCCAGTAAAAGTAACTAAAACTAGCCTGAAAAAATATTCTGTTACAAGTTAAATTCCTGCGTTTAAATGTTACTTAAGTAAAAGTGTGTGAGTATAATCAGACTTGGGACTTGCTTATGACTTGCACATGTGTGACTTACTCCCATCTCTGCTTGACGCAGCAGCTGTAGGTTTGAACCCGCAGCCCTATGCTGCATGTCAGTCTCAAAATTTCACTATTTTTTTGTGAAGAAAAATAAATGAAATTCATAATTTTTAATGTTTAGATTACTCTCTTCCTAAGAGCCTCATCCTGCATCAGAAAAATACACCGTTAAATCAACCAAAGAGCTCATACAACAAGAGAAGAAGGGAGAAGGAAACACTGAATTTGTCATAAAAGAAGCCTGTTAAGTCTGTTTGACTGTTAAAACTTTAAACGAAATACATAACACAGACAGAGAGGCAAATAGAAATTCCTCTGATGTAATGTTCACAGAAAATAATCTGCTCAACATTCATCCAAATCGCTCATTTTACAGAAACTTCCTGCAGGTATTGCACTCACTATTTGGGTGGATTGCACAGTTTATAGTACACAGTATATCATATAGTATATCGTATGCTCCTTAATTAGGGGCTGTCAGTTTAATCAATGATGGAAAAGGGGTCCCTGAAGGAAAGTATTGGGAAGCACTGATTTAGGATCGGACATTGTTAACAGGAAATGTAGTTTTTTGGCTGATGCTGATTGTAGACTGCAGGTCACATTTGTTACAATATGTACAAGCGTCTCACTGGTTTAGATATTTAAAAACATCAAACACTGGCCAAAGGGCTTTACAGAGGGATAAAATAAGCGGGAGGTACAGTTGGGTGTCGTCAGCGTAACAGTGGTTGGAGATATTATATTTCCTGCACATAGACCCCAGAGGAAGCATAACATTCTGGGGAAGCATCTAATGAAAGTGTTAAATCTCTGAGGCCGTTCTCCTTCTTACCTTTCTCTTCTTCTTCTTCTTCTTCTGCTTCTTCTTCCCTCCCTTCACTGTTTCTGCCTGTGTGGCCAGGCTCGGCCCTGAGCCCCGAGCACAGCTCCAAACGCCACTTGGTCAAGAGTGACCCCACACCCTTTGGGTTCAAAGGTATAATGTCATCCCGTAACATCGGGCCCATCTAATCCTAGATGCCATCGTTCATGGTCCCATGTCTTCCCACTAAAGCATACTCCAGTGTTGTGTGTTTCTATCATGTAGACTTCACCTGTGTCTCAAATAGAAGGACATACCTGGACATGATGTAAACCTTGATCCATCCGTAGACACTGTTCTTCGTACCGTCACCCTTCATTTGCCATGACAGTGTTGTACATGTATGGAGAGAGGAATGTGTTGTGTTCACACAGACTATGTGCAGGTCCTGGAAGGTTTCAAATCAGTAATATAAAGGGTTTAAAAATTCCTAAACCCAGCTGTATTTGTATCATGATAGATTTTGTTCGCTCTATTTTCCAAAATACTTTTTGGCTCTCTGAAACCTGCAGATGCTCGCTCTATCTATCCATCCATCCATCTATCATTCTATCGTTCTGTCTATCTATCTATCTATCTATCTATCGCTCTATCTATCTATCTATCCATCCATCCATCTATCGTTCTATCGTTCTGTCTATCTATCTATCATTCTATCGTTCTGTCGTTCTATCTATCGTCCTATCGCTCTGTCCTTCTGTCGTTCTATCTATCTATCTATCTATCATCTATCCATCTATCTATCTATCGTTCTATCATCTATCTATCTATCGTTCTATCGTTCTGTCCTTCTGTCGTTCTATCTATCTATCTATCTATCTATCTATCTATCTATCGTTCTGTCTATCGTTCTATCCATCTATCTATCTATCGTTCTATCGTTCTGTCCTTCTGTCGTTCTATCTATCTATCTATCTATCTATCTATCTATCTATCTATCTATCGTTCTGTCTATCGTTCTATCTATCTATCTATCTATCGTTCTGTCGTTCTATCTATCTATCTATCTATCTATCTATCTCTCTATCTATCGTTCTGTCTATCGTTCTATCTATCTATCTATCTATCATCTATCTATCTATCTATTGTTCTATCTATCGTTCTTTCTATCGTTCTATCTGTCTGTCTGTCTGTCTGTCGTTCTAACGTTCTATCTATCTATCTATCTATCTATCTATCTATCTATCTATCTATCTAGCTGTCTAGCTGTCTAGCTGTCTGTCTATCTGTCTATCATTCTATCTGTCTATCTATCTATCTATCTGTCTATCTATCTATCTAGCTGTCTAGCTGTCTATCGTTCTATCGTCCTATTGCTCTATCTATCTATCTATCTATCATCTATCTATCTATTGTTCTATCTATCGTTCTTTCTATCGTTCTATCTATCTGTCTGTCTGTCTGTCTGTCGTTCTAACGTTCTATCTATCTATCTATCTATCTATCTATCTATCTAGCTGTCTAGCTGTCTAGCTGTCTGTCTGTCTATCTGTCTATCGTTCTATCTGTCTATCTATCTATCTGTCTATCTATCTATCTATCTAGCTGTCTAGCTGTCTGTCTGTCTATCGTTCTATCGTCCTATTGCTCTATCTATCTATCTATCTATCTATCTATCTATCTACCTACCTATCTATCTATCTGTCTGTCTGTCATTCTAACGTTCTATCTATCGTTCTGTCATTCTGTCGTTCTATCTATCATTCTATCTATCATTCTATCGTTCTATCTATCTATAAAGTTAGCTTATATTAGCATAAAGACTGGAAACAGGGGAAGACTGTAGACCTGACTAACGTGATGTCATCCATTGGTTTGTGGACTCCACTTAAAGCCTTGAAATTCACCATGTTAGCCATCGCCATCTTGTTTTTTGGGGGGCACAAGTGACCATAATTGGACGACGGGGCGGAGATAAACTCTAATGCTAGGAGCTAGCTGAGTTAGCACACTGCATTTACAGCTACAGTTAGCTGTAGTAAAAAAAAAACAGCTTAAAACCATGCTGAATTTCTGTTGTAAAGTTTGGCATTTTAACATGGGCGTCTATGGGGATTGACTCGTTTTGGAGCCAGCCTCAAGTGGCCATTAGAGGAACTGCAGTTTTGCACACTTTTCCATTGGCTCCGTTTTTCTGTCACCTCCTAGCTTTGATTTCGGCGCAGAAAGCCAGGCAGATTTGTCACATTTTTTCAGAGCCAGGCTAGCAGTTTCCTCCTGTTTCCAGTCTTTATGCTAAGCTAAGCTAACTGGCTGTTGGCTCCAGCTATGCACTGTACAGAAATGAGAGTGGGATCGATCTCCTCAAGATGTTGTGTCCATTTTCACTGGGGACCACTCAACAAAAGTCAATGGATGAATGACTGACTGAGAAAGTGTTTGACTTCTTCACTAACCATGTCAACGGGGAGACTGCGGGACTAGTTGGCTGTCTCACTGACCCGCTGGCTGTCTCTCCTCCGTCTAGAGCCGGCTCCCCATGTCACTCTGAGCAGAGTCAAATGGATGAGCACCTCTAGTCTGTTACAGAGCAAGCGGCAAGGTACAGCGCCGCTGTGAGGATCAGCCGCTGTGGGCGTAGATGTGCTGTGGTTTGTGGTGGTCGTGGTTGATTTGACCAGGGGTAACGTGTAGCGAAAAATCAATTCGCCTGTCATGTAGCCTTTTATTGAGCGTTATTGTCCATTTTAACTTGTAAATAAGAAATTTGAAGTCTCAGTGCAAGGCTACATGACACTGATTTTTGTGAGATACCTACTCTTCATCAAATCAATCGCTCTCTCTTCTTCTACTGTTGGGTGCTTTGGGTTAGTGGTGGAGTAACGTGGACAATAATAAGAATTCAGCGCAGTCAGAGCAGCCTTGAAATAAATCCAGGTGATTCAGATCTCTGCGTCCTTTGATCGTGAATCCTTGATTTACATTGGCTCATGTTTTACTGGGGTCTGTCTGCCGCTGTCATCGATCCTCTCTGGGATTTTGGAGGTTTGACCTTTGGTTGTGTGTGTGTTTGTGTGTGTGTGTGTGTGTGTGTGAATGTATTGATTTGTCAGATAAACATGTTTTGACAGAGGTCTCTTTGTTTGTTTGTTTTGCCCCTGTGTAACTGGGACTCTCTCTCCAAGTGGCATTCAGGTGCTCCTGGCGAAATTCACATTCACGAACATGTGTTGTGTCCGTCCTTTAATATTGACAGAAAACACTCTGCATCATTCTACATGTTTTGAGTTCTCAAATTAGTGACCTAGGACGCATTTTGATGCCACGTGGAGCGGGAGCGTGTGTGAAACAGATTCCTCAAGTCACCTCCCATTTCTGATTATCACATATCCCGTCTTTGCCTCTAAAATGTCCTAACCGTTTACCCTTCTGTCCTCTCTGCGCCACCACCCACTCACAGGCTGGAACAAGGCGTCACTCTCGGTGGACGCCTCCGAAGAGAACGATGGGTACTCCAGCGGCGAGGACCCCATGAACTCTGACCCCGAGGATGATGTAGGAAGGAAGCTGGTGAGCCTGAACCTGTTCACAGTATATGATTCTCCATCTTTTGCTACCTCTAATAGACTGTCTTTGGTGACCTTTGACCCGTCAGGCTCCGGGGAAGTACACAGTGGTGGCAGACTGCGAGAAGGCGGGACCTCAGGAGCTGTCTGTCAAGAGTGGAGACATGGTCCAGCTGATCAGAGAAGGAGAGGAGGGGCAGTGGTAAATATCTTCGTCGATTCCTGATTTCACAGGGCTGAATGTATCCTTAAATTCATTGTTGGGTGGAGTCACTGTTTGTTTAACCCTCTGTAGGTTCGTGAAGAACCTCCGCAGCAGTAAGGAGGGCTGGGTGTCCGCCGCAAACCTCCTCAGCCTCATCTCAGAGTCCAAGTCGTCCCAGTCACTCAGCAGCTCAGGTATGTTTCCATAGATACCATACAGGGTCTGTTGACGACTGCTAATGTGTTCGTCCTCTTGAGCCCACATCTTGGATTTTTGTAGCTGAGTCAAACTCTTGTTCCCTCCACAACGTGAGAGCTGACACTTCTCACGTTCACGCTCTTGCACCTCCCCAGAGTCCCCTCCGTGTTTACTGTCTACCTGCTTTGCTGCTTCCTGTTTGGTGCTGCAGAGAGGGCGCAGTTACGAGTTGTTGACAATGCTGACCAAGCCTAAAAAACTTTCAGTCACATTAAACATTTCAAGAGTACGTCAAGATAAGAAAACAACTGACTTAAAGGAGATCGGATCTTTGAAGTTGGGCTGTATGAGGACCTCACCATCTGTGTTCAACCTGGAACAAATAAAGCCAGCACTGTTTTTGTTTGTGTGTTTGTCCTGCAGATGGCAGCGTCTCCGGGAACCTCAGCACTTCCTCCAGCTGCAGCGAGACCTACACCAGCTTCTCCGACATCAAACCCTGACCTGCGAGCACTGATTTCTGTGTGGAATTACAAAAACCTCCAGGAGGACAGAAGCAAAGTGTTTCGTCACGGACCATCAACGTCACAGTTTGTCGGATCGAACCAAAAATCGAAACCATCACTGTATCTGCGAATGTTAGCAGTGTATTTACAGCCACCTGTGAGTCTCACGCAAACGGACAATAGCTCTTCTTTTTACCTTGAACGTGGGTAGAAGTTTAAGTGGCAGAAAATTCAGAAAGCATCAGGGAAAAATAGTTCCTCGACACACACGTTACAGTCATGTCCAGTCTTATATTTAATCCCTTATATGTAGCATTGAAGGCGACACGTTTAAAGAATATCTGCACTAAACGTGAGCTCTCACCAGCTCATGAAACCCCTTCAAGTGGATAACATCACAGCATAGCGGCAGATTCTTGTGTGAAACATGGACAGGTACAGATACTATCAGACCGGTATTTCACATGATGCTTTAGTGTCAAACATTAATCGTACACTGTGAAAACTGGCAGCTGGCTGCAACAAGAAGAAATGCTTTGGGTGCATCGTGGAGCATCTGTGAGCAGGTCAGATGTGCAGGGCGTGTTACTGTAAGTCTTGTTTTTGTATGTGGGAGACATACTGGGTGAAGTGTGTTGAATCCCTTGTAGTTTCTGGCAGGCCAGTGGTGTCAAAGTAGTTTTCATTTCTCATTCAAGGATGCTGTATTCCTCCCTTGTTAATAAGAGCTTCCTGTTCCCTAGTTTCACAGTTTATAAGAAGTATCACCGGGTGAATGTCACCAACAGCACGACCTGGTGGTCAGATGTCATGCACTTCTCCAGCGACACATACAAATCACTTAACAAGAGTGCGGCAGCTTGGAACAACTTTTGAACCTCTTTCTTTCCCCCAAGAGTAATTGTCTAACTCGCCTCTGAACTGTTCTGGATTTACCTCTCAGGAAGCCCAAGAAGTTGCGTGGGCAGGCAGGTGTGACTGCATACCTGCTTGTGTTGACTACATGTCTTTGTGTGTGAGCATTCCTGCGTGTGTTGTGCTTCAGAACAAATCCAACAAGCTGATGTGACAGGCTCCCAGGGTGGCTATTTGGCCACAGACAGCAGCTGGTTCAGACAAGTTCCCATTTAGGGATGTTTTAGCGACGTCATGCATTTACCTGCTGAGCAAAGTTAAAGGGATAGTTCAGATTTTTTGAAGTGGGGTTGTATGGGTTACTTATCCATTAGCAGTGTATTACACACAGTAGATGTCAGTCAGCACACCCCCAGTTTGGAGAAGCAGGCTGGAGTCTGACATGGAGGATAAGTAATATACTGCTGTGGATGGGGGCCGGCAACAAAGCATATTTTAGCCACCTAAAAAAAGCCCCAGCTAAAGAAAATCAACATCAGCGTAAGTGTACACTATATTGAGAATATCTTTACTACTTTACCTTAATGTCAGAGCATGATTTTCAACTGGAAAATGAAGCTGTTAAATTGCTCTCTTCACAGCCAGACTCCATTGAGAAAAACAGCGATTTAACAGAGCTGAACACAGGAGCTGCTGGTCTATTACTGCCTTAATCAGTTGGTTTGTTTGTGTAATAGTGTGACTTCGGGGTTTAAACGGATTAGTTTAGAGTCACAAAAGTCACACAATAACACAAACTAACTAACTAAACAAGGCAGCAGTAGACCAGCAGCGCCTGTGTTCAGCGAGCTAAAATTACCGTTTTTCTCAATGGAGTCTGGTGGCTTTGATGAGTGCATAGATGGGGCTGTCAGACAGAAGGGTAAAGTTGTGAAAATACTCTCAATATAGCATATTGACTTTTTTCATAGGTGGGACTTTTTAGGAGCCTAAGACATTTTGTTGCTGGCCCCCATCCACAGCAGTGCATTGCTTAGCTTCCGTGTTAGCCTCCAGCCTGCCTCTCCAAACTGTGGGCGTGCCAGCTGACGTCTACTTATTGTAATACACTGACTACGGCTCAGTACCCCATACACCACTTTAAAAAAGATCCAAACTAGAAACAACCACCCTCAATACTCTGCATATAAATCTAATTTTGGCTCCATGTCTGCTGCACTCACCTATCTTTGGTGTGCACTGCAGCAACAAAAGCAGGCTTTGTCCCCTCCCTCTGCTCCCAGCCCCACTAAGGCATGTGACAGTAGTCACTTCTGTGCACACAGGGCTAACCAGGGCCCGGACCTTCCTTAACATGTTTGCACCACCAGCTCCGTGACAGTATTTGTGTATTTACCATGATGTCGCTGAGTAATCGAAAAACGAGGTGCAAAAAAAATACTGACAAAAGTCTGACTCGTGGTGTGAATTACACAGCAGAGGTGGTGAGTAACATAAGTTGGCCCTAGCTGGCCGAAGACGTTGATACGGGTGCATAGCACACCTCTGACAACCAGCTGCTGTGACAGACACACACAAGCTATTTCTAACACTGAATGACACCTTTTTCTTACCTTGTTTTTCAAGGGTGAACTTATTTTTTATACCCCAAGAATTTCTACTGTATCCACATGGTGCACTGTAAAACAATCTGTTCCTTTTTGCCATCTTCAATGTTGAATGTGTGACTCTGTTATTGTAACAGAAAAAATGCAGCATGCTGTTCTACTCAAACCAGCCCCACCTGTTTTATTACTGAATATGAGGTGTTCACTCCGCCACTGATAAACACCACTGTGGTTATGTTAAAGGAATAGTTCAGGTTTTTTTAAAGTGGAGTTGTGTGTAATACTTATCCATAGACAATATATTACACACAGTAGATGTCAGCCAGCAGGCCCCCAGTTTGGAGAAGCAGGCTGGAATCTGACATGGAAGCTAAGCAATGCACTACTGTGGATGGGGGCCAGCAACAAAGTCATTTGTTTGATTCACAAAAAAAATCCCACAGTTTAAGTTTGTGCTATATTTAGAATATTTTCACCACTTTACCTTCATGTCAGACAGTGATTTCCAACTGGAAAATTAAGCCATTATAACGCGCTCTCTTCACAGCCAGACTCCATTGAGAAAAACAGTGATTTAACATTGCTGAACACAGGAGCTGCTGGTGTACTGCTGCCTCCCTCAGTTCGTTTGTTTATGTCATTGTGTGACTTTGGCGATTACACGGGTTCATTTTGATTCACCGAAGTCACACAATAGCACAAATTAACTCACTAATCAAAGCAGCAGTAGGCTAGCAGCTCCCATGTTCGGTGAGCTTAAATTACTGTTTTTGTCAACGGGGTCTGGTGGCTTTGGGGAACTGAAGCTATTAAAGGCAAAGTAGTTAAGATATTCTCAATATAGTGTACTCTTAAACTGATGTTGATTTTCTTTAAGTGGGATTTTTTAGGTGGCTAAAATATGTTTATCGCTGGCCCCCATCCACAGCAGTACATTGCTTAGCTTCTGTGTCAGACTCCAGCCTGCTTCTCCAAACTGGGGGCGTGCCGACTTAAATCTACTGCATGCAATATGCTGTCTATGGATAAGTAACTCATACGACCCCACTTCAAAAAATTGAAACTATGCCTTTAAATTCAGCCCGGGCTATGATTAGTGCTTGTGATTGTTTTCGCTGAGAACCACTTTTCTCCTCTAATCACAACACGCGTGTCGTCCCTATGAAAGGGAAGATTCTTCTCCAGAAAAAAGGAAGGCCTTTCTGTGTCAAACTGTGAGCTAAACCAGAGAGTAAACTGTGGCTGGCTTTATGTGTTGATCTGTGTAAGTTCTGTAAGACTCAGAAATGTATGTTACACTTGTACAGACGTGTCCTCTATACCTCACATTGTTTTTCCTCGAGAGCATGTACATTGTGAAGAGGATTTTGCAAGTCTCCTTGTCTCTCTGTGTCCCATCTTTCTGTGTCGCATGTTCCTCATAATCCTCTCATGTCAAAGTCCTGAACAGGGCGAGTCTTTTTACCAGGCACTGTTGTATTTTGTGAGAGTTTATTTTCTGCCCTCCTGAAAGTTTACACGGGCACTAAACTTTTCAGTGTTCTATCTCGATCACACAATATAAAGCTTGTCGAATGATTTGTACCGGAGAGACGAGAAGGGTTCTATTTTTTAGTTTTATGCAGCACATTGCAGCAACCACTGTCTTTATTTTCCTATTGTATCTACTGAGTATGGTGTTGATATAAAGATATTATAATAATGAGACATATCTGTGTATATTTGTACATATGTAATTCTGAATTGTATGTAAAAATTAAAAGCAGCTTTAATAAAGTCTGAGATGGTTTCCCTTTTTTGTATTTTGCCTTTTTTACAGGATTAAAATCCAATTGATTTTATTTTATTAAGATTATAATTTATAATTGGCTCAATTTTTATACGTTTATCAATCTTTTACTGGTTTAATAACACTGCCAGTGCTATAAATGATGTGTTGTGATCCGGAAGTGTAATTCGAACCACGTGGAATCTAACCTCCAATGGGCTTTTTCCAGTTTTGACTATCATGGTTTGGCACGGGCTGCATTCCAATATGAACAGCATCCGACCTTCCGTGTCTCCTCTCCTTTATTAATCCCTGTCAGTGGAGCAGAAAGGGAAGTTATATCTCGCAACATGTCTTAAATTAAAGAATCGTGACTCAAGTTGTACTTTTAATAGTTTGAATGCCATTTATCACCGTAAAATGTGAGGCAAGGTTGCGAGAAGGACTTGATAGGAGAGGATGCGAACGAGACTCAGCCGCGGCTGGAAAGATACAGATGTATTAAGTTGGCACGCGGGAGCCAAACGGCTACCGGAAGTGACGGCTTTGCTGTATAAAGCAATTTTGCCTATGCACCGTCGAAATAATGTATTAACAGGCGAAATATTGGTTGAATTTTTAAAAGATGGCTGTATTTCGCTTACTAGTAGTTGTGTAAGTTTTAATTTCGACCTCCCTCCCCCTTGTTCCTCTGTTATTTTAAACGGAAGACTGCTCGCGCAGTTTTTATTATGAACGTTAACACCGGAAGTCGTTCAGATTTTTATCGCGCTAGCTTGACAGACGACTGGAAAGCGACCAGATGGGATTCTGCACTGGCTTCTTAACAGATTCCTCACATTTCAAATTGTATCGCACACATTTTTAGCGGACTTTCCTGCCAACAAACAGTCCTGGCGTGACGGCAGACGCCTATCTGGGAGGCTCGGCTGCGCTGTGAACCGGGACAGGAGCGGTCAAGACATTTAAAGACACCCCACCAAACATCTTCCCACTGTAGGTATCATTTCTAGCCCATACTGAGAGCGATAGCTTCCAGTCATCTTAACGGAGAGATATTATTGCCCTTGACAGTCTTTGTAACTTCGCTTCAGGTTGAAATGTTTGCTATGTTGTGAAGTGAGACGCCTCTAACGTCCTTTGTTGCAGTTGTGTCTGAAATGGTGCAGACTACTGTGATTAGCTTTGGAAATCTGTCAAACAAAAAGGGAGTTTAGCCCGGAGGCGAGAGGGGTGTAGCCTTGTTAAATCACATTGTCCGGGACTGTTTATGCGGCCTTATGTGTTATTTACTGCCAGCTGCGCTTTAGGCTCCCATTCCTCCCAACACGCTGTTTCACAGGATCTTTATTTCTCCAGCAGCACGAATGCAGTGTGTGTTTTTGGTGTTTGTCTTTTTCCTCCTTGCTATGTTACTTTAGACGACCCGCGTCATGCTAGCGAGAACGACAACAATGCAGCTTCCGGTCACGTATTTCACAATAAAATTTGTCATTGGGCTGAAACCATTAGTTCAATAGATCATTAATAGATCACCAGAAAGTTAATCACCGACAAATTTAATAATGATTAACAATTTGGGAGAAATATCAAGTAAATATAGCCTTTCCTACATTTTGTAGATCAAATAATAGACCAATTGGAGGAATAATTGTACAATTGATAAACATTGAATACAATTAATAGCTTTTTTTGCAGCCAAAGTCTGGCTCCAACTGCAATTAATATTTCTAATGTCATTTACCTTTGCAAGGATCAGCCTCTAATTGCTGATTGATGTGACATCATTAATGATATATAAAACAATGGACAGACAATAATATTAGCAACTCTATGACTGATAATAAGCACATTGATTTTTTACTTATTGCGTATCTGAGAATGCTGAAGCACTTATAAGGCTGTTAATTTAATAATTTCAGTGTTGTTTTGGGTATTTTTTTTGTCATGTTTGTCAGTCAATATTTTATACATCCAAATCTGCTTGGCTTTTATTTTTAAAGCTACCTTACTGCCCCAAACTCTGGCTTTCTCCACTTGTGCTGACATATAGACAGACCACAATCGGAATATTAACCCTTACTGACTATGCACATAACTACAGCAACCTATAAACTCCCCTGGTAAAGCAACTGTAAAGCAGCTTGCAGGTCTGTCAGTCTGGATGAGGCTACCGTTGAAGGACCTGAATGTACAGTCACACCCCACGTCATGTATTTCAGTACTGGTCTTTATTGTTGTGCCGTATGCTTCAGTGAAGCGCATTAAATACAGGCAGGTGTCAGGGTTCGTCGTATTATTGGGCTGCTTTTGCACAGGGACATTTGTGGCAGTCAAGAAATCCTTCTGTTTCCCATTCACATCATTAACAATCTCAAGATTGGACTTGATGAGCCGGTGTTTGTCCTTTTCAGGGAGCGTTCCTCCCATGTTGCCTCGGAGAGGATGATTTCACTGTGAACGTCTGCTCAGAGAAGGTCTCTTTGTAGTTAGAGATGGGGCTGTGGTGTAGTTCAAACAATTAGATCCTGATATCTCTGGGAGCTGGCTCTGTAGCACAGAAAGAGCAGGACTACGTTTTTAAGGTGGAATTAGGAGCAAGCCAGAGTGTTTCAAGGCGTTTAAAAAGAGATTCAAGATGTTCTCAAAATGTTTTAGATGCCTTCTTAGGAAGGAGTAAATCCTGTTTAATTTAACTTTTATTCAATTAAAAAAAAGACTTTGTTGTATTCATGCTGTGTGGAGGTTTTAAGGGTTAAACATCCTCCTTGCTCATCCTTGATTACTTAAATTCCAGTTGTATCATGAATGGCTGTCTCTGCATTCCAAGACAGTCAGGAGGAAGTGCTGTCAAATTAAAAGCAGCCGCCTTTCTTCTTCCCTGAAAGGCGATACATTCATCACATTGTTGAACGCATTCAGTTTTCAAGCTGCGATGGCCGAATGGTTAAGGCGTTGGACTTAAAATCCAATGGGGTTTCCCCGTGCAGGTTCGAACCCTGCTCGCAGCGGATGTCAACTTTTTGGGGCGGCAGTAGTTCAGTCCATAGGGACATGGGTTGGGAACCAGAGGGTCGCCTGTTCGAGTCCCTGTCCGGACCAAAATATGGAGCGTGGACTGGTGGCTGGAGAGGTGCCAGTTCACCTCCTGGGCACTGCCGAGGTGCCCTTGAGCAAGGCACTGAATTTCCCCTCAGGGGGATTAATAAAGTAAATAAACTTATAAACTTAACTTTTCAAAAAAGGCGTGCACAGACACAATACAAGCCATACAAATTAATCATCGATTTGAAATTTGCATATTGAATCAGAATATTACAACTCATGCGAGTCGGTGTGTACATGACGTCCCTGATGCCGATGTGAAACCTGTTTTTAGTATGAGCCATGAAATGTCCGACTTGTATTCACTACCAGAGTGGCAGACTGACATCTAGGTGTGACAGATAACTATCTTGCAACACTGGAATGACTTTGATTAGTCATGAAGGCCACCCACTACCAGTGTAACTACTGGTTACAGGGTGTGTTACTGGGATCTGATGTTTTCTTAATTTTTCTAGGGGTTGGTGTGGCGGAATTGGGCCAATAAATCACTTAATTGATCAACAGAAAAGTAATTTTGATAGTCATTTAAGGTATTTTCAAGCAAAAATATTAGTCATTGCAGAATTTTGAGGCTCTTAGTTGTGGATAATTTCTGTTTTTCTTAGTCTTATGTGACAATTAATGGAGTATCTTTGGGTTTTGGATAGTTGGTCAGAAAGAACAAGCAATGTAAAGATGTGACTTTTGGCTTTAGGTCATTGTGATGTGCAATTTTCGACAATTTCTAACATTTTTTTTTTGAGACAAAACCGTTAAGGCTACAGTTGGTAAGTTAAAAGTTGTCAGTCATTGCTTGTGAACTACGATCAAACTGTCAAACTAGGCAGCGTTAATCAAATATGCATTGACGGTTTTTTCACCTCAGATGGTTTCTGAAACACATATTAGTGTACAGTTTAGCTGTACTGCGAGAAAGTTTCCTCCGGCTTCGGTGTAGGGTTTCAACGGTATGAGACTTTCTTGGTGCGATAACTGTCTCAGAAAATATCGACGCTTAACGTGATAGAAACAGAAGGGTAATCTTTGCTTGAACAAACGTTTTATTACTATAACTAAAACCATTTTGTTTACGAAAACACGTGTAAAAAGTATCCCCTTTAAAAATAATTCCGTCCAGAACATTTTTATTTTCAATAGCGTAGATAAGTGAATATATATGGTATGATAACTGTCAACTTTTATATCACAGTATATGTTAAAACCGTTATATTGCTTCAATCCTACTTGGCTGTTTTCAACACGGCAGCTGGGTCACAAACGTTCTCATTTAACAGACAAACAGTACACTAAAATATGCTTTGATATCCTCTGATTGGCTGTTTTCCTTCAACCGCAGTGGATTCTGGCAAATGCCATTAAAGGCGCTACGAGGAGGAGGAACAGTTTGTCTGTTTCGTATAATTTACTTCTGCGTGGATGTAGTGACAGTTCAAGCAAATTTGACAAGAAGTTATTTGTCATAAAAACGACCAACTGCAGCTATGAAGCCTGTGAAGCATTTCTGATTTAAACCTTTAAGTGTTAAATTAGCATTTATTTGGAAAGCAGCTTTACAGAAAGAAAGGGAGAGGTGATAATACATTTAATTATTTTTGTAATAATACAGTTACAAGTTAGGACTCCTTGCCTGACAGAAATATTTTTTAAAAAAACGGTTATCCCATGGTTGAGGCTTGGATTGATGTAATCCATTACATTTTTGTGATGGACGAATTTGCATTCATTTTACGATTGGAACAAGAGAAGTTAAACAATTGTTGGATTATTATTATTGATTATTTACTTATTATATTTTCTTGCATTATGCAGTTGGTCAAACATGTATCGAGGTTTTTTTTTTTTTCAAATTTATTAATTAGTTTATTTCTTCCTGCCTAATGTTTTACCAATAACAGTTTTGTCAAGGGTTGAAATATCCTTTGTAAGTTTGTTTTTATTTATTGTACCACAAATACCTCATTAATATTTAATCGCTTTACTACATTATTTTCAAAAAGGCAAAAAAACTGTCATTCACTTTCATTGCAAAGTATTCATAATAAATCATATATGTAGCCGCATCTCTTCCATATGTATTGATATGTGTAGTTATTGAAACTCCAGAAAAAAAAACAAAAAAATCTCTAAATTAAAAAATTAAATTAAAAAAAAATTGATGTGCTGTAAGACTTGCTCCAACTTTATTCCAAATAAAAACAATTAACTTGTTTTTTCGTGTTGAAATGAAGGTGATAATTGCTGTTACCTAAATATGTCTATGTGTTTAATCAATCTTCACAATCAGATTTAAACTGTACTGTATTTGTTCTCTCATAATTACATCTGAAAAATTAATATTTGGGTCAACGTGGAGCCTTTCTCTGTCAGATTACACTTAAACAGAGCAGCTAGCTGTGTGTGTTCAGGCCCAGTGGGCACCAGATTAATTCCATTACATAACATTTAGCCAGTCTTAAGCAGGCTACAAGTGAAAATGAAGGCTTCACTCACAGTAACCTCAAGCTTAAGCTTTCCACGACTCAAAGAGGTGTTATTAGATGATTAAATGGCCCCTTTAAGTACTCTTGTAATAACCAGAAACATTCGGTCACAGACGACAGAGTGGAAACGTTAGACGTCTGACACAGTAGTTTACAATATGATTGGATTAGACAGCAGCAGAGTTTGATAACTACTTCCTCATTGCCTGCTTATCCTTTGACAAATATTGACCAGGCTGTAGCTGTGTGGGCATGATGTAACCTGGTAGTAAAGTGAGTTAATGCAAATGGATGCATCATGTTAAAGGGTGTTTTTTGTTTTTATATTTGTCTCTGATGGCGACTGAAATATTTTGTGCACTTAGCAGCTCGAGGACAAAGTATTTTTGCATTTCCCTGATGAAGTGAAGATACTCAGCTGAGGTTTTGTCTTTGTCAGGTGAAAACCTCGTGATTCCAGTTCGAGCTGTTTTCTTGTTTTCGTCGGCATTGAAGAACCCTCCCTCCGGCCCCCTTTGGGATTCTCAAAATGGTATTAATTGAGCAGCTTTATATCTTTTAATATGATCTTTGCAGTGCAGCAAAGTTGATGTAATAAGGCGGGTCATACAGCTTGGAGTTCACCGCTTTGTGTCAGTAGTGTAACCAGAGAGAAGGTGCACAACTCAAGGTGTGTGTAGTAGAAATGCAGCTTGGATGGAGTGGATTGAGGAACAGGAGCAGATGTACAGTACAGGCCAAAAGTTTGGACACACCTTCTCATTCAATGCGTTTTCTTTATTTTCATGACTATTTACATTGTAGATTCTCACTGAAGGCATCAAAACTATGAATGAACACATGTGGAGTTATGTACTTAACAAAAAATGGTGAAATAACTGAAAACATGTTTTATATTCTAGTTTCTTCAAAATAGCCACCCTTTGCTCTGATTACTGCTTTGCACACTCTTGGCATTCTCTCCATGAGCTTCAAGAGGTAGTCACCTGAAATGGTTTTCCAACAGTCTTGAAGGAGTTCCCAGAGGTGTTTAGCACTTGTTGGCCCCTTTGCCTTCA